TTTTTTTTTCCTTTTTTCTTTCTCCTCTGATTATGTTTATATTTAATATAGAATTATATGTTACGTGGTTCAGCTCTCTTTGGGAAGGGGTCTATGGAACAGGGAGGATTGGGTGGGAATCCAGGGTGGTTATTAAAAGTTAAAAAAAAAAGAAAATAAATAATAAGAGTGATTGGAAAAAGCTGATATCTATAATGATGTTTGGTTAGAAACAGCTGAAAGATGATTTTATGTGACACTTTATGATCATTTCCATGCGGAAGAAAATGTCTCATTTCTCTGGTGTCAAGTATTATACAACATATTGAAGAAAAATACAGTTTTTGTTTTCATTTGTCTGACACTTACATGTCATATTGAATCTGTTTTGACTGTAAACTAAAACAAAGCAAAGAGATTAAGTTTTTAAATCAAATGTCTGATCATAATTTTAAAAGTTTATTTTTAAAAGACACTGTATGCATGTGATGGGCAGAAACCGACATGTCCATAACTGATGCTATATAGGTATGTAGAGTGTCATAGTTTGAAGCCCATCTGCCATAAGTGGGTTGCGGGTCCATTTTGAACCACAAGTTCTGGACCACACGTGACTCTCAAACATGTCAAGTTTGTAAAAAACACTTTACTTTGGTGCACAGTGAATTTCTAGCACAGAGCTTTTACTTTGAAGTGCCGTTTTCTGCTGCACATTGAGTGACTAACTGACAGCTTCTTGACAGAGACAGCGAACTAGCTCAACTACATGGCCAAATGAAAGTATGACACTGAATGTATTAAACTATGTGGACCTTGAACTACTGACTAAGAAGAAACCTGGACCCCGTGGCTGAACCTGTTGGGAAGAATAGGAGCAAAAAGCAAAAACAGAAAACGGAAATGGTCTTTTGATGATCATATTGACATTATATCACCTTTCACTACAGTTTCAATGTCTTTAACTGTCACAGACATGAAAATATACGAATATTTCTTCTTAATTCAACCTTACCAGTTCCTGTTACAAAATAAAAGCCCGTTTATACTTTTATTCTACGACATTAGAGAGATACAAATGTGCTTTTTACTCCACTCTCTCGATGATATCATCATCTTCATGTGATATTTACATCTTTATTGAAGGCACATACAGATCATCATCAACACCATATCTACACTGATGACATTTCAGGGGTTAAATTAGTCACAGTTGACATTTTGTCCCTCGAGTTAAACAGAATATCAGTGAGATAAAGGAGCGGCAGATAATGACATGGATATTAAGGATCACACTTATTCATTCACAGAAACACCAACACAACTTAATCAAGCCTGAATTAAACATTTTGAATCGTTTCAGTATGAAAATTAAATAACAGTGCATCTTGTGAAATTTTCAAAGCGTGCTGCTGATAATGTGTGTGTGTAAGTACGTGTATGTTTTTGTGTTTTTATCATATTGTGGGGACCCTATCTGGAGACTTACATCGGGGGACATCACAAGGTAAACTGTTTATTTCAGGGTTTAGATTTGATTTCAAGTTTAGGATTGAAATTAGGTTAAGGTCAGACGTTAGAGTAAGCACTGGGGTTAGGCAGCTAGCAGTTATGGTTACAGTCAGAGCAGTGGCTCCCATTTGAATTTAGACAAATAGATGCACAATATAGAAGCTCTGTGAGAAAAGCATGGAGATGTTTATGTGTCAGGTAAGTATGAGAAAATTTGATGGGGTTTGATGCAGACCTTTATTTATCTCTGCTTCCTTAACATATCTATTTTTTCTGCAGTGGGATGTGCTGCTCTGATTTGTTACCAAGATGCAAACATAGTGCTCTTTGTGTCAGATTCTCCCTGAAACGTGGTACTTAAGTAAAATGCTTTTTCTTCTTTTAATGTCAGCAGGACTGGTCCTAATTTTCAGTCCCTGTTAAAATGTTCTGCACGAAATCCTGACAGTTTAATTGTTGGTTCTTTGTAGATCTGTGGATGTGAATGACTCTTAACGACTTTAAATACAGATTATAAAATAATTAAGTGACTCCATTGAGACTGTGCACAAAACTTCAGAAAAGAAAGGATGTTGCTTTACTCTGATGGCAGCACTGTGAAAATCAGTTATTGTTTTCTCTTTTTTTTTCAGTAGAATTCATTGTCATTATTTCAACAATATTGGAAATTCAAAGCAGCTACATGTGTTAGTTGCCTCTTTACACTGCCTGTTCAAGGCGGCAACGTTGCACCTTTATTCTGCCTCATTGTCCTGTATAAGAGGTAAAGAATATCCTTGCCTTTAAACCAGCAGCGCAGGTCGTACCAGCACCGAATCAATGTCTGTGTAAAAAGTTTGAGTCAACAGGACGCGACAAGTGTAACATTTTGATGACATGATATGTGTGCGACCCACCATGGACCCCAGGAAGAATAGCTGCAGCGAATGGGGATCCTAAATGAAACTAAACTAAACTAAACCAATGGCTGATTTAAAAAGCAGCTAGCAGCAGTTAGCGGCTAACTCAAAGCGGAAAAACAGTTACCAAAACTGTCCGCAAAATGGGAAGCCAGAGGTCCGGATACTCCTTACCCTCCGAGTCGACAATAACGGAAATGACTGGTATTGCCATGGTGACAGCACAAGGTAAACTGTTATTTTCAGGGTTTAGATTTAAGTTTAAGTTAAGAGTTACATTAAGGGCAGATGTAAGAGTAAGCACTGGGGTTAGGCAGCTATTCTGCTGGCATTGCTTGGTTCTGTGTAAAAAAACAAAGTTGGTGTAATTAAGGGTCTTTGTTGCAGCAATATTGCGGAATTTCTCTGCAGGGTAGGTTCGTATTTCGGAGGGGCGGACAGGAAAATGTTTGGCAACCCCTGGGTTAAGGCCATTGTTAAGGCAATTCATGAATCTCAATCCAGTGTCCTCAGAAGTACAGTAGTACTTATGAGCGTGTTTTATGGTGCTGTACTGTGTGTTCCAGCAGTCAGGCAGGCAGGTGTGTAGATCTTCACCGTCTCATCCCAGGAACAGTCCACCACCTGCAGCCAACACAACACAACACACACTGTCAGAGACGAGGTGGGCGTATATCAAACTGCAGGTAACCATAGCAGCAATACTGGTGCTTCAGGTGGTTCTGAAACAATCAGTCGATTAAACCTGAGGTTTCAGAGATGGCTGACTGGCCCCTGGTCTCCACTCTACAGACTAAATCTGTCTTCTGTCTTTCTCTGTCTTTATTTTCTTCAAATCTCTCTTCCCAGCAGCGGCCACAAAATCAAAGGACAAACTGTGACTGTGATTCACCACAAGATTGTTCGTATCAAACAGACATCCCTCATTTAGTGTTACTCATCTTCTTGCTTTCATCATTCACTAATGTTGGACGGAGCTGTTGGTGCTGTTTTTTGGTGCTTCTGCTTTTGCTTTGAGTGTGCACTACAGCTGTTCTCCTGTCAGAAGTAATTTTCACCTTGTAGGCTTTTCAGCTGCAGCTCAGTGTCTGGAGGAATCCATAATTTCACCAGGTGCAGCCCACTTTATTGTGATGTTCTGATGCACGTTTTACAAATCAAAGTTTTTCGTAATTGATGTTACATCGATATATCGCCCCACCTTTAATAAGTCACTTAACTGTGACACTTATAGTTTTTATTTAATCGTTTGCCTGTAAATCTTTTAAGTTTTATATTCTTATATTTTCTATGTTCGTTGAAGCATGTATGTTTATCCACTGCACCAGTCCAATCTTTGCACCACCGGCTGTTTTTATGTTGACAATTTCCAGCAGAGAACATTCAGTACATATGCTCCTAAAGCTTCTCTCTCAGTTCTGATGTGTTTTTATCTCTAATTGCTGAACATAATAGTTCCCCACAACCATTAGTACGCTCACAGAAGGAATGGGGTTTACACGCCCGTTATCAAATCATAAAGGTTTTTGTTCAGGCGCAATCTCCGACTCCATTTATCCTCCCAGCACATAAATAAGATGGAAAATGGCAGAGAGAGGACAAGCATGAAAATAAAACCTTAACCCAGAAGCTTTGGTCTGCAAAGTGGTTACTACTATATTCAAACTAGAATTATCGTCTCGCGGTTGTATGTCACCACGAACATGTCAAGTTACAGTTTAAATCTATGTCAATGAAAACACAGATGCATCACACACATCTTTCCCCCAGCAGCACAGAAGATCTACACAATCAGCACAGTTTCAAGATGAGTCAGCAATTCAGTATCTGACCAAATGCCTCCCCTTCTGTTCCTGAGATATGACGTTGAGTAACAGCCAGAGAAGTGTTGAATGCAGAACATTATGATGTCACAGTGATGTTAAACTTTGACCTTCTTGATATAAAATGTCATCCCACAATAATTTTATCCCAGTAGACATTTGTGTGAAATTTTGTCATAATTTATGTTCTGTGGGGTCACAGTGACCTTGACCATCAGACTTTTGGCCACCAAGTTCTAATCAGTTCATGTTTGAGACCAAGTAAATGTTTGTACCAATTTTGAGTGGGACTGCTATCGATGAGGAGCGGAAAGAAAACTTTTGCATGTCTAGATCATCACTCGAACCTTTGACTGAGTTCCTTTATCCTTTTATCGAAGGGGAATCATCAGTGATGAGATCTCCAGTAGGTGTTTTTATGAAGGTAACATTAGCCTTTGAGACAAGGGGAAACTGCTGAAGACAGATAACGCCAGCGAGCATTTGGAGTCGTTTTTATATACTTGTGTGGATGGAGATATTTTATAAAAGAAAGGTCGTATGGACGGAATTATTTTGTGAAACAGAAGGGGGAAAAGATCCATCCATCCAAGAATTATCCAATCACCACATTAATGTGGTGGAGGGGTTTGCATGTCCCCATGATCCTGGGAGCTGTGTTGTCCTGGGCTAACAACTCCTGGTAGGGTCTCCCAAGTGGTGGGGGAGGGGCCAGACTGCAAGAGATTCAAGAAGATCTTGACAACTCAGCATATTCGAACTTGAAGTACCTCGCCCAGTATTGGCACCGGGGCCTGGATACAGACCTGGGGGACAGAGCTCACTGGCGAGCATCTGGAGGCCGGGACTTGGGCCATGGGGGCCGGTTGGGCTCACCTCAAATAATTAACATGGAGCTGTCGCCTGTGGGCCCACCATACGCAGGGACAGGAATCAGGGTCGAGTGCATTGTGTGGCAGGCAACAGGAAGGGGCGGGGCCTTGGACGTGCTGATCCCTGGCTTTGGGGACGCAGGAAAATATAAATTCTCAAAAATATCTGTGTACATGTAGACAAGCTGTAAAGGTCTTGGATAGTCAGTTGGACAATACAGGTGGTTTGAAGATGTCACCGCAGGCTTCAGGAAATTGTGATGGACATTTTTCACTATTTTCTGACATCTTTAAGACCGAACTGTTGTCAATTCAATCAAGAGCATAATTTGTAGCGCTACTCACAAGGCAACATAATTACAGACCAACAATAACAAAGCGAAGACAAAGTGAAACTCAGATCTGTTTTCAGACGACTTTGATTTGAGAACAGATTTCCTCTGCAGGTCAACAAATGTTCTCGGTTGTCTGAAGCTCTTTATTCTCCAAACCATTTCAGAGGATGCAAATACAGCTGTGTTTCCACTTCCTTCTCCTCACTCTATAATCAAGCGGGACATGGCTATCAGCTGAATAACATGCCTCTGTGTGGACATGGCTATCATCTGAATGACACACTTCCTCGCTGTCATCTGTCCTGGCTGCAGAACACACAGTTTGCCTGATGAGTCCGTCCTCTGCTCACAGCGTTCAAAGGAAAACACCGGTTCCACTTCACTTTCAACACAAGGACCATAAAGCCACTTTATTATTCATAAAATTAAAAACATTATTTTATATCGTCACAGGTGTTAGGACACTCTGTGTTCTGTCAAACAGTGAAACATAAAGGGAAGCTGCAGCCGGCTGGTTGGGGAAGTGAGATAAATTCCTGATGCACACTGAGAGAAATCTTGGTCCATCACTCTGCTGCAGGTTTTTTCCTTCTTAACTTGTTTGCATTTTGGGAGTGAAGGTCCTAAAGGCTTGCTGGCAGCACAGCCAATCAGAAATAAGCTCAGTCAGGGGAAGTGTATTAACATGTCAGCAGAGGTTGTGCTATAATTAATTATATTCCATCACTGTGACAGACAGGGGCTGTTAAAAATCTGTCAAAGGTTATTTTACCTGTCAGATTTCTTTCCTGGTGTTACACAGACCTGTTTGCTGTTGTGTTTTCTATGTGTGAGTTAAAAAAGGCTTAAAGTCCATAGTACTATAGTAACACAGTGGTTGTGCTTCACAAAAATGTTAAAAAAAAGTCAGTGAAAGATTAAAAAAAATGTATTTTGTTCACGCCGGAACATCTGTGTCACTGTTGCTTTGTGTCCTGAGCCATTCACTTGTATGACTTGTTATCTGAATGGTTGCTTCAGCCTGTGACTGGTGGCTAAAAATCAAGTTTTCTTTGTATCTGTGCAACATTCGACACCCTCCACCCTGACTCCTGGAAGCTCAGTTTTAGATAAGACAGAAACGCTATGCCACCAGGATTACATTTTCCATGAATAAAATATTTTTAAACATTTCAAATCAACTTTCCTAACCGGCAAAATGTTTTAGTTTTACTTAATCAAATTTCACCTGGTTGGTCTGCTCCAATATGAGATACCAGCAGTCGCCTGGCTGTTCACATCAGAAGCACCGGTCAGCAAGAGGCTCTGCTCCTCTGCTCTTTTTTAATCACATGTGGAGCTCTGTCTCTGTGTGCCTGTGAGTGTGTTTGTCTCTTTCACTCCCTGCTTAGACACAACTGACAAATATGTGGTTGGGTTTAGGAAAAAAGAAAAGGATTTGGCTTTACAATCTTACAGGAAGTGAACACTGACCTCCCGGGTGAAAGTCTGTGGTTGTCGTACCCATCCACCACCCCTCCCGACCCTACCTGGACTTCTGCCTCTTTAACTTTTGTCATTGTCCCCCCGTATTTCCCCCTGACGCCATCAGGCGCCAGAGCTCAGAGCTCTGCACTGCAGCACATTCAGTGAGAGCAACCTAACTGGTTAACATGGCCACAAAAACATATGTGCGGTGACCTACTGATGTTTAGCAGGTATACTGAACAAAAATTCAAACGCAACATTTTTGTTTTCATTTTTCACAGGCTGAAGTTAAAGATGTAAGACTTTTCTTTAATGCACTCAATACATTTTTATCTCAAATTTTCACAAATCTGTTAAAATCCATGTTAGTGATTATTTCTCCTTTCCAGGATAATCCATCCACCTGACAGGTGTGGCGTATCAAGATGTTGATTAAACAGCATCATTACTACACAGGTGTGCCTTGGGATGGTCCCTAGAAAAGTACATCCTAAAATGTGTAGTCAGATCACATGACACAATGCCACAGATGTCAGAAGTTGTGAGGGAGCGTGTCATTGGCCGGCATCTCCACCATCACTATCATCATCGCCCAACACCAGCTCAGATGGACTGGCCACGTGATTCGGATGCCCAACTCTCGCCTCCCCAAACAAGTCCTCTACTCGCAGCTTGTTCAAGGAAAGCGTGCCCCAAGAGGCCAAAAGAAAAGGTACAAAGATAACATCAAAGCAAACCTCAAGAAGTGCCACACAGTCCTTAAGACCTGGGAGGCCACAGCAACAAACAGGGCGGCCTGGAGACAACTTGTCCGAGATGGAGCTGCGCAGTATAATGACGATCTCCATAGTGCTGCAGAAGACAAGCGCAGATGCAGAAAGGAGATCGCTTCCACCAGAAAGGTTCCAAGGTTCAAGGTTCAAGGTTCAAGGTTTCTTTATTAATACCGGCTGGTAAATTTGTTGTGCAGACAGGCACTCGGCGATGCCAGTATAAAAAACATTCACACCCAGACATCATGACAGACAAATCACAAATATAAAAACACAATATAATTAAAATACTTGGTCATAGTCATAGTAATAGAAGTAAAAAAGTGCTTCTACATAGAAAAGTGCTTCTACATG